TCGATCTCCTTTTCTAGATCAAGAGGGGTGTCCCATCGAAGTGAGAAAGACTCAGATCTGGGTTTATTCAGATCTATAACTATAAACTCTTTTTGCCTCAATAATTTTTGAAGCTTTTCGTGGATCTACATCAGTGTAAGGACTTATAATATCTGCAAGTTTTCGAATAGAGCCCCCACTATTAAAGAGAACAATGTGAGTAGCACTTTCACGAATATCTATTGGGATTTCTGAGCAACATAAATTGAGGAAATATTCTCATGACAACCTCGAGTGAAAAATGGAATAATTTTTTCTGTATAGCTGGAGGGTCAGAGTAAAGATCTTAATGTACTTCTTTTAGCATTAAACTTTTTGGGATCTGACCAATGTGGGGTGCTCAAATTGACAATAGGGGACAAGAAGATATGGAAACATACCTTCAAAGACTTGTGTTGCTTGCTTCCAACAAAATAATTGGAGGGAAAGTTCCTACACTTGAAGAAATTGACCATACATCGGCACTAGCAATTCTTGCTATCTGCATATGCTTGCATGTATCACCACTTGCTCAACGATTGGTTGCTAGTCACATGTGTGTATGTACCTTTATTTCACCAGACCGAATGAGCAAATTATTCCTATGTGTGTTTACTTTGTCATCTTCTAAAGGCTATATGTAGTGGTATGGTGGAGGCTGGATATCACGGAGAGCTTGCAGCACGTATAATACTGATAAGAGCTTGGGATGTTTGTGCATGCATTCACAATCATAGGACTATTACCAACCAATATTCATCCCCCATCACTATTGCTGAATTCATAAATGCACTCTTTGGCATTGACTTGGTTCAATTTGTGATGCAACAGAAACACTACACAATTACTTGTTAAATCGAAAAAATAATTATTGAAAAATGCTTGTGTACCTTTTTAAAGCAGTATTAGTATCCCATCAATTACGATAAACTGCTGATATTATTGATTATATCAACAGCGTTAAGCCATTTTTTAACAGTTTATCAATATGTACGAACCTATTTAAGAGTACAATATAATCCAGATTTCACTGTTTTATTATAATATTGGTAAAAATATCCAAGCAACTAGTTACATATCTTTCAATCGTAGTACACATGCTTGTTTTGTTGCTATTTTCCTTTCATCCAGTCTCGCCGGTATGCTATGAATCAAATTAACATACATGCTTTTTCAATCTCTTTCCATTCTTTCTGAATTACTCCACAAAAGTGACTGTTTGCTTTTTATTATCAACTTGGTTTTGAACCCGTGTCTTCGACCAGATTAAGATCTAGGCAAAGATAACGACGTTAATTGTAAGGGTGTTCGGTGCTACCAGAGCGCGGGTTAGGGACCAGAATTCCCTATTTTATAGTTATATTATTGAAATAGAATGCAAAGTGTAGGCATCACGAGTACGATTTGCCATAGAGTGGTTATCGTTGGCGACGCTGGTCAATTAAAGGCTTTGTCATTGTGTTGTTAACAAAGAAATGACAGGGTAGACAAACCAAACGAGATACGTACGTATTGGCAAGTCCACAAACCATGTTATTTACGTACAACCTACTTGGGAGGGCCATGTGTATTGTCGTGCATCAAAGCCAAGGTAGTCTTGGTGGCAATATATGCAATATTGAATTTGTGCAAGTTTGCATGTTATTGTTACTATATTATTACCACTCTACGTGATTAATGTCAGATGTGCGAATGTGGCACGGACTCTGTCAATTAATCTATGTAGGTGTAACAAAATGATGCACTATTATTAAGCGATCGACAACGATGACGAATAGGCGATGGTGAACAGTGACAAGATTATTTTACCAGCTTACTAATTATGCAAACACTTCCATCAAAGAAAACAATCTTGTTTATTTATTTTACAGGACACACTAATGTAAGGATTTCCAATAACAATATTACAGACCAACCCATCAATCAATCAACCCCTCCCCACCATCTTATAATCCATTCTTCTCTTTGTTAACATCTCGTAGCACGACTACAGTACTTGCAAGCACGTATTCTTGCCAACACTTATTCCCACTATCCTCATTAACCCTAAAGTCTCGACCAGATCCTACATATGACACGATACTCTCCCTTACGCCGTTTGCTTTTACCGTTTCCGATACAGGCTGAAACCCGCTGGCAGACCCCCCCGACAATCCACTATATCGGGACAACCTCTCAGCTACTTTGGGACTCCATCCAGGTGGATGACTGTGCAGAAAGGCAATATCGAATTCATCCGCCTCGGACGTAGCAGAGATCTCTGCTAATGGAGTAGTTGGGTCATTTCGCGCAGTGAACGTCCATTTAGACGAAGATGTTGGAATCCACCAATAACGCTGTACTGTTGTCTTGTCAAACGGAACTGTTACTTCGCCAACGTAACCTCCTAAAGAACTTTTTTTCGTAGATATACTCGAGAAATTCGATCCGGACCCCGTTGCTATATATGTTAATCTGAAATCTTTGGGTTTCTTGGGTTTCTTGAAGAATGTGGTGTATCGCAATTTTATTGGATCTATGTCCCAAACGACATCTGCCAATTCGACAGGAGGGAGCGTAATTGAGTTATTACCAGTCTCTGTTTCTTCTCCCTCATTCCTACGTTCCTCGTATTCTTTTTTATAATCTTCTGGGATTGCAACTAGTGCAGCATTGTACCAGTACATGCTGCTTCCCTCGACCCTCGTTAGTTCTCGATAGTACATTGGGCCGGGAGACGTCCCGGATATGCTATAGAATATCTGTACATGTGATTGGTCTTGCGGTATGGTAGAGGTTTTATATTTTTTTACCAACTGAGTTAGAAAGAGGTGAAAGAATGTGATAGGAATGCAAGAATATGATTAGGTATATACAATTGTAAACGCAGCAATGAGAAGGTTCTCTCTTTCATGCATGCGAACCATTGAGCAGAACCTTGTAAGAAAGTTTACAATAACTTACTCTGTATACGGCAAGCTGGTTTCCGTTCGTATCAGTTGAGGGACGTTTAGACATTGTAATTCACTTGTCTCAATATCTGATTGCAAGTATCTGTATGTTTGTTGTTTGTTCAAAAGCGTAGTAGCCATTCAAGAATTTAAGTATTATTTATCTACATTCAGTTACACAGTATAATTAATGAGTGACCATCCTGACCATCCTCTGCGATGGGGGATCGCCAACAACTATAAATATGATTGGGCACCAATATAAACAAGAGTCAATGTTAGATGTTGGACAAAATAAAATTGTTAAGCTGGGGATCCATCCACGAAAAATGCCAAGTTTTTGAGAAATTCATAAGGATTTATGCCTGAAGACATTAATAATAACGTTTAGTTCAAATTAGTGCTAGAGTTGAATGAGGTGCTACAACGTTTCGTATATAATTCACGTGGAACAAGTAGTTTCAGAACTAATACCGAAAAAGTGGATTCACATGGTAAACCATCTGCGTGCAACAGGGTTGAAAACAAGACCCTTTCAAAGTTTTTGGTGTTAAAGGCTCGTTGTTGTCTATAAACAGACAAGACCTACTCTCCGATCTACGATATCGATCATATAAAAAATCTACGATGTTTCACTTCTCCATTTACGTGATCTATTTATACTATCCAATGATCTACATTCGGAGAATGAATGTAAACTTGGCCCTTGCAGGGCTCGTAGCAAAGAACAAAGTTTGCCTATTATTGAACAGACGTTCGCCTCCTTATTTGCACTTTCCCTTTATGGCAATTATGTAATTTTTGATCGGAATGTTTTATGTATAGTCATAAATATGTGACTCATCTTAAAAGAAACCTTAATCATAATGGCTTGAATATGTGTTTCATAATTATGCGATTCCAAACTAAAGCCTTTTAGTTTGACTCGCATGAATGATATCGACTTTGGCTTGTTGTTTTAACAGCTCCGGCGAACAAGTCGATGGTATTTAGCAAATAAAGATATTAAGTGGGGAAAGCCCAGCACAGAAAATTAATTTGAAGAATTAAATTAATAAAGATATTCTAATCTACTTTAGTATTAACATTAGGTAAAATACGATAGAAAACGGTTTCATTTTTTTTTATCCAAGCCGATGTTTTATTCCGAGATTATTGGAACAATGTGGACAAACGTGTTTTGCATCTGTGAGATTGAATGATAGCCGTTAGTACAAATGTATACAGTGCTTAATACCGATCCGATATGTTTTACCTTTTGTTGCCTTGAGATAAAATGGCACCCAAAACAATACCACTGTCGTTACCAGCAGTCCTGACGCTAGCAAATAAGTGCACGCTCCATTACGATATCTGACATCAGTGGTTACAAACTGACTACAGTGCGGACACTGTATCTTAATTGGAAAGTCGGGATACTTGAGGAACGGTGATGCGATTGAGCTTCTACATCTCCTTGGCCGCGGTCGTATCAATTGCTCGGTCTCGGAAAACTCTGGTAGTGATTTACTTCTTACGTTTATGTAACGGATTGGCGTGCAAACTGGTAATGATGTCATTTTTGATAGAGTATGTGAATATTTTGATTTTTGATGGATTTTTTATTTCAGACTGTGTCTGTTGTCAGCAAGGATGGCGAGAGATGTGAGTATTTATAGACAGAGGCTAAGCATCAACTTAATATTAATAGTTATAGGCAGTCGTTGTTCCTTTTGTAGCCTTAGTTACCAACCTCGTGCATTGATTTGTCTCTCTGTGGTATAGTCTATATATAATCTATTGCATGCTTTATTCGATGTCTAATTTAAATTATGTTGTTCCGATTCTGTCTATGAATGTAAGATGTCAAGAATTAATTACAAGGATGCTGTTATATTTATATAATGTCCAGTCCGATGAGCTGCATATAAAAATGAACCAATTAGTCTTTGAGCACAAATTCTATTGTTACCATCCTTTGTCCACAGGAATGCTTACCTCGTCTTATACATCTCTGGTTAATGGTTGTTCTGCTTAATCCCGGCAAGTGTTATGGAATGTGTTGTCGTTTTAGACGGCGACGTCCGAAAAATCCATGTTATGAATGACTAAATCTCAATTTAAAACCGCAAATTTGATATTGAATAGTCGTTATAATTTGTCAATCACATTCCCATATGGTGGTTTCAATCATGCATCGCACAAATAAATAACCAATGGTGAGACGACTGAATTTATTTTTGCATGTCTGCTAGTAATTAGTTATAGTCTTGTGAATACCTACAGTAATTAGTGAGGCATCCAAGAGAAACAATACATACATAGCAAATCTTGTCATTTGGTTTTTTTTAATATCGTGTTCATCTACAAGTTCAACAAAAAAAGTCTAGTATATAGATTATAGTAATCCGTTGTATAAATATATACAAAGCCATCAGGCAATTACTTTTAAGATATTCGCAGATGACTATTATTACATTCAAATACGAAGTCCGTCTGAAGATGATACCTATTCATGATTATGTTAGTCAGGTCCGGCGTCTCTTGGAACGCTACAATAACAATTTTGACGATTAGTCTTCCGTCATCGTAATATTACCAATTTATTTTATTGTGTTGCTTACCGTTACTGGCCCCATCATTTCATCCTGAATCAATGTCTGTAATACAATCGCGATTAGAAAATATTTATCGTTATAGTAAAAAAAAAAAGAACTGGATTGGTTGCTAACCTGATCTGGGCGAAGTCGAGATGCAGAGCGTGTCTAAAAGATGGGAAAACATCAAATAATAAGACATTAAGATGAGTCCATCTTGAAACAAACAAACATATTAAAGTACCAGTACCTGATATTTAGAGATGGTAAAGTTCAAGCTTTCATCACTTCCACCACATTTATTAATTGAATTTTCGTCGTAATTAATCTTCGGCTTGTCTTTCAATCGCCTAGATGTCCGTACCTATAGAAAAACGAATAATGTAAGACAACCTATTGTACTCAACCTCACTGCGTATTCGTCTCTACTACTAACCTTTATAATGTCCTTTCCCCCCCTCCCGCGACTTCTTCCTTCTTCAGTTGCACCATCTGTATCCTCATCTTCGGCGTCAGTAGTGTCGTTGTTCTTCTTAGACAACCCCCGCGATAATGATTTGTTTGCTTTCTTCAGCTTTGCGTTCGCTTTAACATCAACGTCATGTGCCTCTATTAACTCGTCCAACATTGCACACACACTGGAAAATGTTCGTATATCTGACCAATACCATCGAGATGATGCAATAGCTAACCATTTAAATGAAGGTGACTGATCATTGGATGATTGCTCTTCGTTACTGCTAGTCGCAGTCTTTGCTGATGCTGGCTCTCCCTCATCATTGGTAGGTTCAGACATAACAATCCCGGTTGAAGATATCAACTTCTTTACATATTCGAAGAATTTCTCGGGTTTAGAACAATTGTCCAAATCAAAGTCTGCTTGCTCAATGACGAGGTCAGGCCTTATTTCTATTAAACATGCCTCGAAAACTTTCAATTTACGTCTAATCGCTTCACACATAATACATTCATATTCATAAACTGTCAGTGTACTCATATCCCTAGCTATTCTAGCAACTATCTTGTGAATGTCCCCGTCACGTTGTAGAGCCTTCTTTACAGCATCTCTTTCTACATTCTCCTGCTGAATTTCCTGGTTATCATTCGACCGTCTTTCTATCCATTGGTTGAGTCGTTTAAAACTCTCTATAACTTCGTCTTCGATTTTTTTCAAGCTAGCCTCAAGAGCTCGTTCACGCACCCCACGTGGATTAAGAGAATTCTTCAATGCTCGGTATGCTTCAATTGAATCAATTACCCACCACCTAGACTGTCGTTTTGGTTGTCCGTCCGATGATTCCTCTCCATTCTCGGCTGCTTTCCCATTACTATCCATTCTTTCCTTATTATATGATCTATACCACTCTACATCTTCGACAAAAATACCCCCTATCGGACGATAAAACCAATAGTTACGACAATATCTGTCTTGACCTAATTGAGCAAATTGATACAGCTCATGATTAGCAGAGTTTCCAGCAGCTCTTATAACGGATCCACCAACCAGACTGTTCTTCAAATCTTCACGTTCAGTGGTATTGAGTGACACAAGATTATCGTATTCCAGTTGCTTGATACCAATTAAACGTTCGAGTGATTCAGCTTCCTCGGCGGCACGAATTCTCTTGACCCGTAAAGCTTCTTCAGCATCTCTGGCAGCTTGTGCTCTGGCAACTGCTCTTTGTCTTGCCGTTACCCCGCTTGCCGATTCCTCTGACCGTGCATCATCTGATTCCGTATCAATACCACTGTGATGATTTTTTAATTGTACTTCAATTTCCTTAATTTCCTTCTCTAATAATTTGACCTTGGCTTTTAATTCCGGTATCTCATTTTGCAGATTCTCAATAGTACCGTGTCTTAGCTTTTTCTGCTTAGCGCAATCATTCAATTTGTCACACCATTCTTTTATTTGTTCTCTTGCTGGATCAGTGCGCATTGCCTCATTGATCATATCTTTCAATAACGTTAATCTCTCGTGTGGAAGAAAAAATATAAATTCTGTGGACCGAAGGAAGACGCGGGAGGAAAGGAGACGAGAAAGCCGATGTTGTACGGTAAGAATATCGGCAAAGGCATTCGATTTCTCATCAAACTCATCCACCAAGTAATCAAGGAATTCACAAACAAGAAGAAAGAGACGAGTGTGACAGTGGTTTCGATCTAGCGCCATTTCTTCAAAGTCATCTGTAAAGTAAAATATCAGAGGGGAAAAAAAAAGACTGTAAGAATGACGGTCAAACCCGTAGAAATAAATAAATGTAAATCATACAAAAAATACAATGATATGGAGCAAGCTTTAAATGAAATAACTATCACTGCTACGACTATAATTACTATTCTATATTCTTCCTACGATAGATTATAAATATTTCTGATTAAGATGTTATTTTAATTCTACCATAAG